AATCTGTTTTCACTCAAGCTTGAATTTAATAGTTCTTAAGTGAGGCTACTAAACAAGCGGTTTTGAAGGTACTTTTACTCTTTAGGCACTCCGAAGTCAAACAGAATCCAAATCCTGTCCTGTTGGATTATTTCTATTTATAATTTGATATAAGCAAAGTATATGATTATGTAACAAAGCATTTTACATTAGAAGGCACATTATTTCTGCTTCCGCTTTCAAGAGGAGCTACAAATGGTTAAACAAAATGAAGGGAAAACCCTCAGGGGGAGGAGCTTGTAACTTTTGCCACTTCACCTGACCATGAGGACCATTATGTGCCAGCACAAAGAAGAGTTAAATGAATATAGCATTTATAAATGCAATTAGCAGTGTATACTTTTCCCTTTAATGCATTTCTAGGCTTGAATTAACCACTTTAGAGGTAAGAGTAAAAAATATTCTTTGTCAGCAACAGCAGAGTTCAAGAGGAAGGAGATCAGAACCTTGTATAATGTTATACACAGGTTCCTGCATGTTTTAAAAGTGGTAGTATTATCTGCTACAGAAGCAACAGGACCTTAGACTGATGCCTAAACACAAAAAAGCTGTTCAGTTTACTTTGAGTGATCTTTACAAGCTTTGAAGGACAGTGAATGAGAGAATAATGTTCAGATATTAAAGTAGCACTTCGACAATGTTTTACAAGAAAGCAATTTCCTTCTCTGTACAGATCACAAGGAAATATGGCTCATTAAAACTGTCCTTTAGACAATGCAAACTGTGTTGAAAGTGGAAGCATTATAGTGAAAACAATTACCGCTGATTATAGGAGCATAAGACACAACCAGTCACAGCACATATTTTGAGAATAATTTACGTTTCCTCCTCAGAGAAAATGACACACTGATAACTGCTATGACAGCAAAGATTGTAAGATATACAACCTAGTGTCTCCTTCAGACAGCAAATGCTATTTACTCAGCCAAAATTAAGCTGCTACACCCAACAGAGAAGGAGGTGCTTAGAATCTCCTTGATAACATCTACTCCCAAGTTGTTATAAGAAATAAGTGCCTAATTTTCAGTCTTGCACTTATGTATTAGAGATGAAAGACCTTTTTTAAAATTTGATTTAAAAGCTCCTCACCTCACATATAGTCTTCCCCTCTATACTTCTCACCAGTCCAATTCCAGTTCAATGTTTGATGTTGATCTTATGACCAATTTTCTCCATTACAGTTAACTGCTACGTTAGCCTTGGCCAAGGCTAACCTAGCAGTCATGAGTAAAAAATATTACTAGAAGCAAGTTCTCTTCTCTTTTTTTGCTTACGGAAATGTACTTCCTTCCACCTGCCTCCTCAAGCCTTCCACTGACAAAGGACTATATTAATAAAGCATAAGGCTCGCATCTTCTGAGATTCACGGATGCTTGAAAAAAATATCAATAATTCAAATCCCTCTATTCAACATGTCTAAGGCAAATTACTTTAATATTAAGCAGAATTAAAGTCTGACATACTTCTAACACAAGGCAACTACCGGAGCATTCCAGAGCCACAGTTTAAAAACTAAGAAATTAAGTGCCTCAAAAATCCTGAATACTAAGTGCTACCCTACAAGCTCTCTCTTGAAACTATGGAAACATGATGATTCAAGTCCTGTGTTCATTTTCAAACACACAAATTGTACAAAAGTTTCATTTAACACTGAACTATCCTCACTACTCAAAATGGTTTACAGGTTGTTTACATAGTCTAAGTTTTGGAATTAAATTACAGAATACTTATTACATTATCTAATTGGACACAGTTGCTTTTATAGTGAAATCCATAAGAACTAAGACAGTTTCCAATTTTCCTTTTATTTAAAATATGAAATTAAGAGATCTTGTGCTAGAGTGAGATGTGATAGACTACACTCATACATCCTTATCATGCATAATAATGCTAAATGCTACTTTTTTAAAAAAGCTGAAGTGCTGTGTAAATAAATAAATAAATAATAATCCATTAAGTTACTCAATGCCGTGCTAAAGCATAAGCATTTATATAACCAACAGCAGAAAACCTTGAGACAGTCTGTTGTCCAGCACCAAAGTGAATTAGTTAGCATAAAAGCATGCCTTGCTGTGCATAATACTATCTTATTTAAAACATTACTTCTTTCTTTGAAACTGAAAACTAATACTACAAAGGACACCTGACCTCTTATATGAAAGTGTATACGAAAGGAATCCTGTGCTCTCAGGAACAGAAAATGTTCAATCTTTCCTCTAGTTCACTTAATCTACAGTAGCTATTAATACTGTCTCTTTACAGTACTCACTCTCTGCACTTAGAATGGCAAATTGCTGCCAAGTGTTCTACCTTTCACTTATTACTTCAGAGCTGGCAACCCAAAGAACTGTTACTATGAATAAATTAGCAACTGTTCCACTCTCAAGTTCGCACACACTATTTCCAAGCTCCATATAAGTCACTGAATATAAACCCCATCCTTAGATATATACTGTATACAAATAAAAAAGTACCAGAACTTACCTGCACTTTGCTATTACTAAAGTGACTAGAGTAAACTATGCTCCAAACATTAATACTAAGACTGACAAACTATTTAAAAAAAATTAAGCTGCAATTAATTGCAAGATTAAAAAAAAATTGTAATTAAATCACAATTAAATAGCACAGTTCAACAATAAATCGGCACCCCTCCCACCCAAGAGCCCATGCACCCTGCAGCTTCTCCCCGCCACCGCCAACATCACACAGCCCTAACCCCGGCCTGCCCCGTGCCTGCTCCAGATTCACTTGCCCACACTGAGCTGTGGCAGAAGCCAGGCAGAAGATGCTGCACAGTATGGAGGAAAAGCAGCCCTTCTCCCTCACCACTATCATGCCACTCTTCCTGCAGCCATCCAGAGCCCATGCCCAGGCTGCCCTGAGGCTCTGCATTTCTACCGCTGCCCTGCTGGGTGGCCTGGAAGCACTGGTGACAGCAGCAGGGAGGAGCCACAGAGCAGCCCAGGTGCAAGCTCTGGGCAGCTGTAGCAAGAAGGGCCTGGCAGTGCTGAGGGAGATGGGCTACTTTTCTCCATGCCGAGTAGCAGCTTCTGCCCAACCACTGCTGCTGCTCAGCATGGGTGGGTGTGTCTGAAGCAGGTGCAGGACAGGCTGTGCATATGGGTTCAGGCTGGTCTGGTCCACTGGTCAAAACAATGTGCACAATTAAGACAATTAAAAAAAAATTAACACATTAGATCTGTTTTTGCGTTAATCACGCAAGCTAACTGCGATTAATTGACAGCCATAGTTAATACTCTTTCCTCGTTTTAGTGTTCACTCACAAGTCAACCCAAGATACAATTCGATGTATAATGATCAAAAATGTAGTGTAATGCCTCTGATGCCACATTAAGTTATTAGAAGGTAAATACAGACACAAAAATAGCACCACCACCTCCCCAGACTTTAAAATCACCCAGGGAGGGGGGCGGTTGACAGGGGAAATCTTAGTCCCAGGTTCATTTTTGTGACAAACTTCTGTTCTGTTAGGAGTAAAGACCAGTTTCTAATAGTTTATGCCAGTAAAAGCAATGTCTGTACCTGGCTTAACATTGCACGCTTCAAAATGTATTATAGTTGGAGATTTCACTGGTTTTTAACATTATCCCAATACTAGGTTTGAACCTTTTATTTTTGCAAATTAAACAATCAGGCTAGTGCAGCACTCAGAAGGATCAAAGCTCAAGACATATGAGAATACAGCAGTTAAAAAAAGGTCAGACTTAGATTATATTTAAAAGCAACTCTCAGCAGAACATCCAGATGCTGCAGCAAACACCTGACTCTGTAGACCAGGGGTAGACAACCCCCAGCACAGGTGCCAGAGCATGTCATGCAAAGGCATTTTGTTTGGCATATGTGCCTGCGGAAGGATGGCAGGGAAGAGGGCCAGGGCAGCAATGCCATGAGGATCAGGCCCCTCGTGGCCCTCCCACCAACTGTGCCTGGCACACCAACATCTTACAAGTCAAGGTTGCGGGTGTTTTTGGCACCCTGCCCAAAACTGTACCTAACCCCTGCTGTAGGCAGTTCTCTCTGAGTGACCACAGACAATGCCACAGCACAGTAATAAAAGGCAACATAGTCAAGGAAGTGAAGTCAAATCAGATGTAAAACTAACCTTTACACTGGTGGTCATACCACATGCCACCCTTTACAAAACAAGAACATAGCCAGGATGCCGCCTAACTCTGATATTAGCAATATTCCACCGCAGCAAACTCAGTATTAGAAGTCAAGTTATCTACAGCTGCTAACAAGCTTGATATAGAATTACAGTCATTATTTATAGAAACTAAGCAACTGCCCGTTAAGAATGACCGGGGGCAGGCTGTGATGCAGTGCCCATGCTGCCTCTGTTCTGCTTCTTGCAGGGAACGGGGTCAGGGAGCCGAGGCCAGTGGTGCTGGCCCTGGCTCCTCCACCCTCTGTCCAGTCCTCAGCATGACTTTGGAATCATGGCAGCACTCCCCCATGCTTGCAGCACTCTGATTGGCTGTTTCCATCAGCCAATTGGAGTGCAAATAAAGCATTATGAACAGATAGACATATAGACTTAGGCTTTTATAATATTAGAATTAGTTCCTTCATTTTACCAGCATCTCCAAATCACCTCAGATACTGGCTTACACCTGAAACAAACACATGTACAAGCCTGTTAAAGCAGTTTACAGCTGCCTGGGACAATTCAAAAGTGCACCTGGCAGATCAAGTACTCTTTTGACCGCATTCATTGTGAACTGGATCAATATTATATGTAGACACCCATTTACTTATTAATAGCATTATCAAATCAAAAGCCAATACTGTCCTATTGCTTACCTGCAGCATACTATAAAGCTTTCAGATCTATAGTATCTGACTAAAACCGGCAAGTAAAATTTTGCTTCTCCTATACTTTAAATTGTTCTGCATCATATATTTTCATTTTGTTTCCTAAACTGGGGTCTACAGACCTTAGGCCCTTCTTCTATAATTATCAATTTAAAGTTTGCTCATAAAGATTCCTGGTAGTTCATAAGAAATACTGAGGATTTACAGTAGTTGCCCGGTGAAAAAAGGAAAAAAGTGGAAATCACTACTCATATTTTGGAAATAGTCGTCTACATATATTTCAGTTACTTAAGTCATAGTAAATTACTTTAGCCGAGTCTCACACATTGCAAGCCTAAAGGGCAAAAATGCCAAAGATTACTGGACTACAGAAGGCCGTGCCCAAATAAGATATTACACAGACCATACACATGAAAGATCACATCATGCTGCTTCACACTTGTTGGAGGATTTGTTGATATCTTCTGTGTAAACGTTATGCGTATTAAAAGATGGGAGTGCTTGACTAGTACTAATGCATGTGTTACACTCCAGTACACAGTAGGTTACTCCTATTACTGTTAATACAGATTACCAGCATAACTACAAGAATATACAAATAAAAAACTTAAGCTCTGGCTTAAGCTCTGTGGGAACTTGCAGTGCAAAAACAGGGAAAATGTCAGACTGACTCCACCCACTAGTTTCTATATGAAGAGCGAAGAATCAACCCATTAAGAATGGCTGCAATGAAAGACTAATGAACGCAAATTTAAATTTTTTTCAGGACAAGAGTTGCTTTCATATATGTCAGCAGAGCAGTTAGCACCACTCACATTCATCGGGATTACACTATGTATAAATACACTCAGCAATTTTAACATTACTGCTCATTTAAATTTAAAGTTTAATTTCATTTCAAAATCACAAGTGTCCACCCCAAGCCCTAACTTGTAAAGCAATGCTTGCATTTTGCCTTATAGAAATGTTTTCTTTGCCTTTTTTTTTTTCACCTTACAATTTAAGCATTTTTTTCTGAACTACATATCCTCAATTATGAGAGACTAATCTGAGGCTATATCCTGTAATTTAAGCCTTGTCTTCATTTAAAAAAAAAGGGGGGGGGAAGTAAGGAGGAGAAATTAAAAAAGAGTGACATTTTTACCATGATTTAGCTAGCATGGTAAAACAAGTAACTAAATACAAGGTAAACATATCACTATGAACTAAACAGTTGTATTTTAATACATGCTTGCAGGCCAAAGTAAACACCAGGCTCTCTGGACCTATAAGCCTACTTGTGGTAAACGCACGTTTTTCTTAGCATGGACATGCCCGTGAGGTTCAGACCAGTGCTCTTAATCTAAGAAGTTTCACTTAAATTCAGTGGCTTACCATAATACTTATTCTATACATCAGGAAGAACACAGTTGTATTGGTCATTTGTATAACTCTAGCGCCTTGGAGCTCCAGTTGTGACTTATTTCCAACCCATTGGGACAAGAAACTATTGATGTACTTGCTTAATTTTCTTAACAGTAGATACAGTTAGGTGCCCACACCTTTGCAAAGCAGACAAAAAAACCCCAATATAAGCCAAATGATCCTAGCTATTTGTGAACTTCCATTAGAGAACACACAGCAAAAGAAAAATGTTACGGAGCATGAGGTGTACCAGATAAAGTAGCTAGGCCAGAAATGTATTGCCCCTTGAAGCTTTCCCTTTTAAACAAGAAAACATCTACTATATTCCTTTAACAGTTGCATCTAATAAGTCACTTTTTAAAACCTACCTCAGTAAAAGCTAGCCAAAAAAATCTTCATTTTAAAAACATGTCTATGCAGTTTCCTCACATTTGAGGAAAACCGTGCCAAAGGAATGGAAACGAAGAAGTTTAGATGAGCGCCTAGATAAACTTGAAATTACATTAGCAGTAAAATATGTTTAGACAGACAAGTTTAAAAAGATATCCTGAAGATCATGATAAGATTGCTATAGGAAATATCACAGTACCACAATGTAAAAAGATATCCCGCCCCCCACCAATAAAATTAACACCAGAAAACTAAACTTGACATTTTAGAGGAAGCTGCTCTGTAAAAAGCAGACTAAAACATTTTTACCATTATTTATTATAATGAGCTTGGAGGTCATAAACAACAGATCACTAACCTGGAAAGAGAAAAGCATTAGAAGGGGTCCATGTCTAGCTGTGAAAAGGCAATTAATCCCACCACTATTCCACCACCACCCAGATGACACAGCTCTTCAGGCTGGATCTGGTTCACAGGCCAGGAATGGAACACCTTCAGCTGAAAAGGACAGCTTCCTGGGGCACAGGCAACTTCCATGGCTCAGCACATGTCTGTCTCTGGAAGCAGCCCGAATCCCCTCGTGGATGAAAACAGAGCAGCCACCCCTCCCCCTTTGGCATAATAACCAATAGGTCCGGCACTGGTCCAGGTAGAACCAGGGCTAGAAAATGACCAGAAGATGAACCACTCAGCTGCCCCATGGCAGGCAAGGCCACCAACTCTTTGCAACTTGAGTCATGGCTGCCATGAGGCAGAGCAGAGCCCATGGGCAACTGCCAGCGCAGCCCAACAGAGGGACCAGTTGCCCATGGGCAACTGCCTCTGCCCTGTCTGCAGACTGGGTCGCATGTGCTGCCCCCTCCCAGGGCTGGCTCTGCCCGACCACTGACAAATGGAATGACCCAGGAGCCTGGGCGACCCTGCCCTCTTGCCTTGGAGGCAGCAGCTCCAAATCTTTGTCTGCAGGAGGCTGCAGGACCCATGTGCAGGTGCCAGCAGGGCTCAGATGGGCGACAGTGTACCAGCAAGTAGGCTCCAGCCTCAGTACCCAGGGTGGGAGGTGGTAGCAGGTGACCCCCCTGCCCACACCAACCACCTCCTCCCTCTTTTCCGCCCATGCAAAAAAGTTTGCTCAGAGGAAGCAGTTGCCAGTGCAAGCTCAACCACCCCCATCACTGCCACAATGCTCCCTCCCAAGCCATCTCCTCTGCTCACTGACTTACTAGCCTGAAGGGGCTGGTGGGGAAGAGCCAGGGGCCGACACCGCTCAGACTGACACCACCTCAGCCAATTGCCAGGCGACAGTCACAACAGCCAATGGCAGTGCTAGGAAGGTAGAACCTGGGAATGAGATCCGCCCCTTTTCCCCCAACCCCCACAAAGGATGGGGGTATCCCCACGGGGGGCGTGGCTTGCAGGATTCCATGACACATTATTGGCAGCAGACAGACCTACCCAATGGCACCCACGGCTGGGGAGAGGCGGGGTCAGGGCAGGCAAGGGGCTTGTTCTCACCCCAGGAGGCGTGGACCACCAGGATGCCTGCACAGCACAGGGTCAAGGGTCTTTAACATGCTGCAGCAGTGGCCTGGGACATCACAACCCAGAGGTGATTAATGGTAGCCTGGAGTCCCTTTATTACTGTACTGAAGTCTGTGCAGAAGACACCAGGGCATGAATAGAAACACACCCACTACCTCTGCCTCACTCTTCAGCCTGAGAAACAGGACAGGCTCCAAACCACCAAGGGATCCTGCTTGCTCTCAATTTAAAGGCTCTGTGCAACACAGAGAAATGGACATCTGGCCACTCCATCTCCTTCAATAATCATTTTTTAAAAGCAGCTTCTCTGTGTCATAGTCCAACAATCATGGCCACACTCCAATCCTTCTACTTTCCATCTGACGTGGCTGTGATTTTTCATTGTACCTTTAGGCAGAACAAAGACATAAGCTAAACACAGGTAAGGTGAAACATAAATGATAAATGAACATAACTGCCCTGTAGTTCTACACTCCCTGACCTCTGTCACCAGGTGTTTAGGAGACATCTCTTATTCCTATAGCAACCAAAAAATGGCTCTTAAGAAATATCAGGAAAATATTAGCACGCTGAAAAGAGCAGGCTTCTAAAGATAGATATTTTCATTTTAGAATGAAGGTTGGCAAAAACAAAACAAAACATATCAAACACCTTAACTCAAAGCTAAAAGAATTTCTTTCTTCCAAAACTAGAACCCCCAAATATATAGGATGTATACACAGTACCAGCCAACAGGCCTAAAGTGTGGCTAGTTAAGTTTCCAGGTCAGAGTTCAATCATGTTAGTTGAAGACTATGAACCAACCATGTTGTTTCATTGCTTCCAAGTATCTTGGACAATTCTGATAACTGTTTAGAGACAAAAACAAGGTTGACAACATAATGGCAATGGCAAATTATTAACTAACCAATATGAAGCACATGAGACCCGTGGCAGTGACAAAAAATTCTTATAATAGAAATAGCGGCAGACTAAGTGATGTTTTCAGAACCTTAATAGGAATATTCACCATCAATTTCTTCCATTCATTCCTTCTATACATTTATTTTTTTAAATAATTTTTGCCATCTTTTTATGTATATTTGCTGCATCTTCATAGCAAATCTTTAGAAATGAAATAATTTTCATGGTTTCAGCTTTGCTTGAATCATAAATAAGAGTTTCTCCTCCACACCCCAGACACCTTTCACAATAATTTTATTTTTACTGAGTTTCCTTTTGGATTGCAATCAAGAATGAATTTAAAATAAAAAGTGTACTTATATTGTTTAAGTGGTTTGAGGATTAACTGTTAATCCATAAAATATACCTATGTAACAATTTGAATGATTAATAAAGATGATGCAAGTCAGTGTTATTAGTTTAATTGTGTATGTGGCAAAACTGAGGCAAGGCTGAGTTGTGACTTGCCTAATGTCAAGTGTAGGGTCAAAGTCAGAGCAAGGATAAGAACCCCAAGTGAGGCCCTGCCACACTTCCTGCAAAGAAGGTTCTCTCAAACAATTAAAAGCCATGTTCTTATGCATTACGTGTACAATGTTAATTGGTTTCTATCCATGAAGTCATGCATAAATGCAAACCCATCATCACAAGAACTCTGGCTTCAGCAGAACTCTGATGTGTGGAGCTCACTGCATCGACATTTACCCAAGTGCAGATCTCTGTATTTAGTTACAGTATTAATGTCTTGCTGAGCCACATGTGTGCTCAGTGTCCATCTGTTCTGATTTTAATCTCGACTTGTATTTCCCTACCAAGGATGGCAATCTCAACTTCCCAAGGATCACAACCTTGACATGGTGGAAAGGCTTGTGCGTTACCCATGACCCCAAAAGCAGTGCAGCCAGGACTTCTGTACTGGTAGGGTCACCTATGGCAGCAAGATGGAGAGCGAGAGTTTCAAGATGAATAACAATCCAAAAATAAAAATAAAAAGGCCTCAAAAGGTAGAGCAGGCAGATAAGAAAAGAATAAATCAGTGCAAAGGCAGATGAAGGCTGCAGCTGAATAGAAGCCTCCAGTCTTCTAAGTTTACCTTGCCACTGGGTTAAAGTTTCCTTCCCACAAAGTACTGTTTCACTGCTTGTGCACAATAGCACCCCTATGTTAAAAGAAGACATGTAGGCATCTTCCTTCAATAGCAAGTCCTTTGGCGATGGGTAATGGAGCACGTGCTAGTCAGTCATGGAAGGCCCGAGTCATTAAAAGTAAATAAGAACTTTCTTACTTTATTGTAAGCAGATGGAGTTTCCATTTTGCTCCTAACATGTGAATCTACGTGGTCCATGATGATCGTTTTGTACTTGAAACTGAGACAGGTGTCCAGGTCAGTAGTTGCAGTCCTGACTCAGCCATCCTTCCCTCACATGAGGAAGGAGACTAGAAAAGGTACCCTAAACATTGTTTCATCTCACCTGGCTAAAAAATTGCATCCAGTGAGATCACTATCTGTTGCCCAAATTGAGTAATAAAGTTGGCAACCAAGAACACCTGCATCCCGATGGACAACCCTAACAGTGACCAACCAGAGCAAAAGACAGCACTCCTGGCCAGAGAACTTTCATGATTTGAGCTTAACATTTGCTGCACTTAGTGAAACCAGATGTGCAGGAAAAGAGTAGCTCATAGTGGTGGTAACATCTTTTCTTTTCTTTTTTTTTGGTTTTTCCAAAAAGACAGGCACATCCACAGCACTTTCTTTGCTATCAAGAGTAAGATTATTATTCAGATGCTAGTTTCCAATGAGTGTCTCATGACCCTTCATATTCAACTGACCAATAGATAGTCACATAACAGTCTGTCATCAGCGCATGCATCCTGATTCTTGATGCAGATTGTAATGAGCTGCATGGCTCAAGGGCTGCAGCCCAATTGCAAGGGATTAGAGGGTAATAGCCTGCCTGCTTAGAAGCAGGGGGCCAGCTGATTGGCTAACTCTAAAGGGCTATTATATTCACACTATTAATGTTTGCCAAGTGCCTCAGTAGCTTCTTATCTGGATTAACACAACAGGAGAATCAGGCTCCCCTGGAGTCCTTCTCACATGTTAGGAGCAAAATGGAAACTCCATCTGCTTACAATAAAGTGAGAAAGTTCTTATTTACTTTTAATACCATAGCTTAAACGTGATATAGAAAAAGCAGCCAGTCTAAATGCACCTGTTAGTTGTAAACATGGTGCAGTGGGATCACAATTCTAAAAACAGTCATTAATTATTAGTCCTCTTGTTACTGAAGACTTACAATTATAATGGTTATTACATGTAATGGTTTTACAAGTCATGTACAATTGAGAAGACTGGCAGTTCTCACATACAACATAAGAACTGAGATTTGCTAAAGGAGGGGTTAAGTCATATTGTCAAGATAAAATATAGTCTCACTTGTATTACTTCAACAGCTTTTACCCTGCTGCTTAAACCATGCCTGGTGCTTCCAGCCTTTTAAATGACTTTTCGCACCACAGTGGCCTTGTAATGCGATTAATAACCAATTAAACTTTCCCACAAGTGTGTAAAATTTATTTTCCTCTTAGTAATCATATATATGTGCTGCTATAAATGGATGTGAGCAGCGTTTGTTACCTTCTATTCTGTTATTTGTCGTCACTTTATATCACTTATAAAATTCAAATTTCAAGCTACTCCATAAAAGATTTCTTTCATGCTGATGAGGACTATAAAAACCAAATCCTTTGCATGTACTTCCCCTGAGAGCTGATCCTCAGTGATGGTTTGAAAATGAGTTTTCCAGAAAGTACTTTCACTCAGAGTTTTAGAAAATATTCTTAATGCCCCTGGAAATAAAATTTCTAACCTTAAACCTTCACTTGTTTGATTGCACATCAATTTGGTCTAAGTTTTCATTTTAATTACTTATATTCCAATTGCAAACAACTATGTGGCTGTAAATTTGTTGTTTTTTTTTAAAGAAAGAAAAGAAACCCTTGGTAACTCA